ATTATATTAAATGGTCAAAAACTGAAATCTTTCACTCTAAGATCAGGAACAAGGAAAAGATGTCACCATTCCTGTTCACTATAGTTCTACAAACATTAGCAAGAGCAATTAGACAAAAAAAAAGAAGTAGAAGGAATAAGAATAGAAAAGGAAGATGTTAAATTGTCATTATTTGCACATGACATGGTACTCCATGTAGAAGTCCCTCAAACCTTTACCACAAGACTTGCAGATTTAATAACCAAATTCAGTATTGTAACTGGATACAAAATTGATACTCAAAAATCAATAGTATTCCTGTACAAAAACAACAGACTGAGAGAGAAATTAGGGAAATAACATCTTTCACAATAGCAACCCCCCAAAATGAAATACTTAGGAATCAATCTAACAAAGGAAGTAAAAGATCCATACATTGAAAATTACAGTACTCTGAAAAAGGAGATCTCTGAGCATATCAGAAAATGGAAAGATGTCCCTTGCTTGTAGATAGGAAGAACAAACATAGTGAAAATGGCCATTCTCCCAAAATGATCATACAGATTTAATGTAACAACTCTAACATTTATTTGGAATCAGAAGAGACCTAGAATAAGAAAAGTAATTTTAGGCTACAAAGATAAGGCAAGGGACATCAAAATCCCTAGCTTGAAATTGTACTACAAAGCTACTGCGATAAGAACAGCATGATACTGGCAAAAAACAGACCTTAAAATCAATGGAACAGATTAGAAGATGTAGATACAACTCCAAACACACTCAGATACTTTATTTTTGATAAAAGAGCCAAACAAGTTCTATGGAAGGAAGCCTCTTTGATAAAGGGTGCTGGAAAAGCTGGCTTTGCACATGCCAAGGACTACAACAGACCCATGTTTATCACCATGCATTAAACTAAGATCAAAATGCATCAGAGATCTAAATAGTAAAACAGAAATACTAAATCTGCTGGAAGAGAGAATAGGCAGAACTCTTGAGGATATAGGTGTAGGCAAGGTTTTCATGAACAAAACCCCAATCTGACAGGAAATACTACAAAGAATCAGCAACTGGGATCTCATCCTATTAAAAAGTTTCTGCACAGCAAAAGAAATCATCAACAGAGTGAAAAGACAACCCACAGTGTGGGAAAAAATTTTGTTCAGTTGTCCCTCAGACAAAGGACTTATACCCAAATATGTAAAGAGCTGAAAAAAATGAGTCCTCAAATTTAAAGATCCAATCCAAAAAAATGGGCATCTGAGATGAATACATACATCTCAGATAAAGAAATGAAAGTGGTAAATAACTATATGAAAAAAATGTTCAGCATCACTAATCATTTGAGAGATGCAAATTAAAACAACACTGAGATTCCATCTCACCCAGGAAAGACTGGCTACCATCAAGAAATCAACCAATAACAAGTGCTGGAGGAGCTGTAGGGAAAAAGGAACACTTCTCCACTGTTGGTGGGAGTGTAGACTGGTGAAACCACTGTGGAAATCAGTCTGGAGATTCCTTTAAAAAGTAGGATTAGAGGTCCCATTCGACCTAGCTATATTCCCTCTTGGTATCTTTCCAGAATAATAAAAACATACTACAGTGATATATGTGCACCCATGTTTATAGCAGTAAAGTTTATAATGGCTAAATCTTGGAAACAACCCAAATGCCCATTAACTGGGGAATGAATAAAAAAGATGTGTTTTTATACAATGGAGTACTACTCAGCCATAAAGAAGGACAAGCTTGACACATTTCTGGGTAAATGGATGCAACTTAAGACCATACTCTTAAGTTAATTACATTGGACTCACATGGTTAATATTACTTTGCCTCCCTGGTATGAGAAACTGGTAGAGTAAAAACGTCCAAAATACACAATAGATGTTGTGGAATGGGAAGAGATTGTTCAAAATGAAAGAGGAACTAGGGAAGGAGCAGGGGGAAAGGAAGGAAGGGAAAAGGAGAAAATAATTTTTAAAAAGGGATAAAATGGAAACAAAGCTTTGTAAATAGGGAGGGGAAGAGGTGTTGAAGGGAGAAGAGGGGATTGGGAAAAAAGAAACCAAAATATATCTGGTACAAGTATCAGTTCTCTATGATGAATATGATTGTGATGTATATCTAAAATGTACCAATAAATGTAATCAAAAAATTAAAAAACAGCAATAAAAGGAATCTTTAATAAAAACAAGCACAAAAACCATGCCCCCTACCATTAGCTAGATCCAGACCAGTGAAACTGAAGTGGACTTTAGTGGGAATGGAAGGGCATCCCTGAAGGAACAAATAACTACCAGATGATGGCGGTGGCCTATAGGATGCACACACATGGTTAAATGCAACGTATCCCACTTAGCCCATTGTTCTTGCCACTTTCTGAAGCATGTCTGCAAGTCCTCTTTGTGAGAGTCTCGATGAGGTGTGATTAAAAAAAATGTGGTGAATGCTAATGTCCAGTGCCATCCAAGGCAAAGGTAGGCTCCTACAACAATTATGGTGTGTCCTCACCCACCTTATTCACCAGCTCTGTGACCCCGAGGCTTCTGACTGTTTCCTCAAAGTCAAAATGACCATGAAAGGTCAATGTTTTGAGTGGATTCAGGACATCAAGGCAGCCACAACAGTGCAATTAAGGACGCTCATAGAACAGGACTCCAGAGCTGCTTCAGAAAGTGGTAAGAATGATGGGATGGGTTCGTTGGAAGTGAGAGGGAAGATTTTGGGGGGATCAATGGCAAGTGTTGTTTACTGTAGCAATATTCTTGATTTAAACATTCACTGTAATTTCTTAAATCATATCTGGTGTTAGCATTCTTTTCTAACAAAGGAAGCCAGCCTCTGGTGGGGAACAGGGGGATGCAACAGATGTGTTGTGAGTTTTGTGTGTTAACTCAGTTACTCTGGGCTCCTGGGACTTCCACTAGGACCAGACAGCATGAATGAAGTCCCAGGCCCTGTGCTTCCCTTCAGCGATCTGGATGCACCCTGGTTTCTAGATTGTTCCCTGCACTCTTCTACATTCCCACTGTGCATTTGAAGTGGGAAAATTCCTGTGTAATTGTGAGCTTTTGTTGTAAGACAGTAAATGATCACTTCAAAGGCTGTGTGCTGACTTTCCAGGGGGTGGAAACTGTCCTCTGGTCCTTCACACGAGGAGGATGGAAATAGGATGGAAACAGCGAAGTACTGGGTTTTAAAATGTAAATATACTGGAAAATTTTTCCAGAGAAAGGCTGACTACTGCTTCTTCTCCTTCTCCTTCTCTTCTTCTTCTTCTTTTTTTTTTTTTTTTAGACAGGAATTAGCCTGGCCTTGAACTCAGTAGTAGCCCAGGTTGGACCTGAAGTCATGTGATCCTCCTGGCTCAGCCTCCCAAGTGCTGGGATTAGAGGCATGTGCCACCACTCCTGGCTGCAGCTTCTTTTTACATGATGTAAGTGATATCAGCCTGTTACTCACTTAGACTCTCCCAGGAGGACATGGGCTTTGTCAGGCCCTTGTTTTCATCTCTGCTTTTAGGTGAAGAAAACTGACGAAGTTTGTTGCCCAAGATCATGTGATTTGTTACTTGGCATAGCTGGGGTTAGAATATAGGTCTCTTAAAAAAAGCATTCTGAATGTTAGGAAGAAATGAGTGAGTTTCCTCCTAGAAGACAGGCTTTAATCTGGGGTTAATACTGAGAGGGACTCTGGCAACCAAACCCCAGAGTGGACCTCTCCTACAGGCTGCGGGGCTTTAGTGGGATTTGTAGGGGGGCTGCTTTGTAACTTTTGATCACCGGGCTTTTGTCCATACGTGTTCATCTGCCAGGCCTCATTGTTTTAACAAGGGCTGCACATCTCGGTCCTCTGGTGGGGGTGGCAGTTCTACCTCCCCCATTTAACAAGAGCCATAAATCTTGCAGGTTAAACCAGTTGTGACCTGACTAAGATAGCAGTGGTCTAATTCCTTCGCAGAATGCTTAGCATTCCCTTGTTACTTATAATTTTGACTTTGGCTTTTCAAATGTAATTTTCCATATGGGATTCAAAAGCATTAAAAACAGTGCCCACCCGACAGTCACCAAAATCTCAACACTCTGGGTCAGGGTTTTGGATAAAAAAAGAATCCAGTGAAACAAAGGGGAAACTTTCCACTCACGTGAAATTAAGAACATTCCCACCCGTGTGTTGAAGTAATGAGCGAACATTCAAAAATGGGCTGTGGAGTTGACAATTCTACGGCAAGTAGCCATGAAAAGTCATTCTGGGCAAGGTCACCAAAAGAGGACGTACGGCATTGAGACCAAGTCACTCAGCAAGGAGAAGTGACTTGTGTTACCGTTCCAGAATGTGAAACCAGGACAACAGTATGTATATGAATTGTATACATACATTTCTCTTCCCTAGTTGAAATGTCTATTTAATTATCATTGTGCTCATCATAAAACATTTTACATATCTTGCAAAGTATTCCAGGATGGCTTATAACCAGTTGGGTCTCAGAGCTCCCAATCAGAATGGGAAAAAACGCTTAGTCCTGCAGATGAACACAGGGTCCGGGAAGGGGTGACTCATCCACTTGTCTCTACAGCAGAGAACCAATTCTGTTTGAGGCGGTTCTAAAAATCATCTTAAAGTGCTGCTTTCCAAACCACAAAGCCTGATGCACTGAACTGCACCAAAGAGGACAATTTAAATAAAGAATCTAACAGAAACATGATTGCTCTCATTTATTACACCTGTATTTATGTAATTTTTGTAGTTTGGTAAAACTAAGTATGAACATTGAAAACACTATAGGCTAAACTGCAATGTGATTTTCCCTTCTCATTTGGATTGGTGAAAACAGTGTACACACTCAGTCTAATGCACCAAAATACTTTCCACTGGCAAAATATTTTCAACCCCCACTGAAAGCAATTCTCTATATCTCAATAAATTAGAGACTTTCTGTGCTTATGGAGACAGGTATCTGGCAATGGCTCTCCTTGGTCCAGGTACACAAACGTCATGCTGGATTTTATGCTTACCTGCAGAATCCCTTCCATACCAGTTTTCTCGAAGAGGAGGCAGCTGCCTTTCCAAAGCTCTATTCTGGCCTTGCAGTCTTGGGAACAAATGCAAATTTTCTCCTTCCGGGTTCTGAGGAACTGCAAAGGTCAGATGGCCAGCCGAGGGAGTCTCTGCTTCTTCACTTTGCAAAGGTGCTACTTTGGTCACCCTGGGATGAGTCTTGGAGTAGCTCAGACCCATTTCCTGAGAAGAGGTCCAAAGGAAAACTACTATGGAGGTCGTTCCGGGCCTTTCATGTAGCTTGCTTTAATTAAGGAACTCCAGAAGTTACCCTAGCTTGGCAAAGATGTCCTTTCCTTCATGACACTTTTCTGACTCTTTCCCTGCACAGTAACTCCTCTCGCCACTTCCTGGGAGGCTGGTTTCCCTGGAGACTTCCCTTCAACTTCCTACTTTGCCATTCCAGACCCAAGAATCCAGTTAAACATTGACGTGGTTACACTCCTGTTTGAAAAACAGCAGTAGGGCCAGAAACACCACTGACCATTAAGCAAATGCCTAACACCAGGAAGGCTTTTCCTGGTAGCAGAAATGTAGACCAGAGGTTTGGGGAAGTCTTAAATTTGACCCTTTTGTCGCAGGTACCTTTGCAAGAATGAAAAACTGAGAGCAGCTAAGTCATGTTTTGAAGCAGCAGTGCGTACTCACTGTGGAGGCCTTTGGTAATCTTTAACTAATGAGGGGAGCTGTCATTCCAAACAGAAGCGAGAACAGTGGAGTGTCTGAAACTGTATTTGATTTTTCTGTCCACAACTTGAAGGTCATGGCTTTGAAGGTCATGAACACATCGCAGTAGGCAGGGAGGCAACAGGAATTTTTCCCTTGGGGAAGAGGAAATAAACTTATTGAATAAATAGTCCAAATATAAATTGTTTCCAAAGATAGCCTATAGCCTATGTTTTTAAAAAGTAGGAAAAGCAAAAAGACTGGAAGAAAATGTGCCAAAATGTTGAGTAGTGATTTTTGAATGATGGGGTTATGGTTGATTTTTATTTTACTCTTTACACTTAGAAATAGGACTCACTATGAAGTTCTACTTGTTCATGACCACGGGTTATCTGTGTTCATCATAACTCCATAGAGAGATTTTTTTTTTTTTTTTCGGTTTTTCTCCGGTACCAGGAACCGAACTCACGACCTTGCGCTTGCCAGGC